AAATGTGTTTACAGTGAGGGTGGTGACACAGTGGCGCGGGTTGCCCAGAGCGATGCTGGAGCCCCCATCCCGGGAGGTGTTCAGGGCCCGGCTGGTGACCGGCCCTGGTGGAAGATGTCCCTGCTCACTGCAGGAGCTTGGGCTGGGTGCTCTGTAAAGGTCCCTTTTAACCCAACACGTTCTGTGATTCTGTGGTATTGCCTATCTATCTGCTGTAAAATGTGCCTAGAGCAAAAAGAAAAAAGAGAGTAAGAGGAAGCTCATCAGGTGTTTAATAGCTCATCAAAGTTTAAGAGCAGCTGTGACAGTTTGTACCAGTTCTGGATCTGCCACAGCACCTCATTAAACGGGCTTTAGTTTTTAGTGGGTTGAAGTTTTTAGGAATCATTTTTGCTCAGGTTGTCAACTTCAAACACACATAAAAGGATGCGAAGAGACAGAAATGATTTGCTTTGTGTTCTTTTGGCAGTCCTTTAAAAAAAGAAAAAAGATTGTGGTTCAGTACTATCCAAGAGTAACATGTGTCTGTATTAATCTATTTACAGCTTAAAAGATGAGATCACATCTGAGAAACTCTTTGGGGTAAAATTGTGGGTTACAGCAGGGCCAAGAGAAAAGTTCAGTGCTGCTGAGGTAAGAAGTCAATAATTCTTTGTGATTTAGTTACATTTTAAGATTTCCTTAATGTGAAATAAAAAAAAAAAAATATAGCGGAAGACTTTGAAATAGTGTTGCTTTAAATTAAGTTACACAAATTGAAATTTGAATGCTTTTCTCATAGGATCAAGTTAATTGCAAGAAGTCAGAATTATTTACCTTCCCTCATCTCTACAACTTCCTGCAGTCGTGTGTGTAGTTTCCCTCACATGTATTTTTGTCTGGATCTTTGTTGTCTTCTAGTTTTCGGTTCTGAAGAAATTCGTAGAGGATGGTGGAGCCATCCTGGTGATGCTGAGTGAAGGCGGAGAGTCCCGACATGGCACAAATATTAACTTTTTCTTAGAAGAGTATGGGATCATTTTCAATAATGGTAATGGAGCTCATTGATTCATCCATTTTCAGCAAAATCTAAAGAGTGGGTTCAGCCTTTGTTGATCTCAGAGCCAAGCAGATCACTCTCACAAAGTACCTTTTGGTCTCGGAGATGTTTTTGCTTGAAATCTACATGTACGTGGCAGTGTAATGCTGCAGCATGCCAAGGGCTTTCTGTAGGCAGAGTACCTTGATTGCAACTTAGCCATCTCCATTCCTTTATTATAGTTGTTGGTTTTAATGGTATCTGCTAAAAAAATTAATTTCTTGGTTAAAAAGACTTCCATTGAAAACATTTTTCCATGTGTTCATCGCTTCACGCTCACTCTGAATAAACTGGTTTTTTTAGCAGACCTATAAAATGCCATTCATTAGATTTTTGTAGTGCCAATGTGAAAAAAAAAAACACCTAGGAAAAAACCAACTGTGTCTCAGTGTACATAAAATATTTTTAGGGTCTTCGGTGGCATTTCTTGACTATGTCAAGAAATGTTTATTTGCACCAACAATATTTGCTCACCATGCTTTTGGAACATGTATAAAACATATTGAACGTGTAAAACTTAATACATATTCTTTTAACTGGGTCATCCTTTTGCCTCTTCTGCTTTGCAGAAAACATGGAGGTATGCTTATTTTCATATTTTCACTTGAGCTTGCAAATATATTCCTACTCTAAATTGGTACATCCAAAAGGAAACAGTAGTGAATGCTGATTTGAATTCTTTGGGGAGCCACATGCCAGCTTTGTGGTGTAAGAAGCCAACAACCCAGGAAGCCAAGAACTAAACTCAGTTTTTATTGCTGTATCAAGGACACTGATCAGCTAACATGTAAATTTCTTTTTTTTTTTTCTTTCTTTCTTCAAGATGCTGTGGTCCGAAATGTGTATTACAAGTACCACCACCCAAAGGAAGCATTAATCTCTGATGGAGTTTTGAATAGGTAAAGATTTGGGATATATAAATCTTGACCGTAAACTCCTGTAATCCATATTGTTTTCAGTAAGTTCTGCTTTTCGACATCTTACAGGGGAATCAGTGAAGCTGTGGGAAAAACAGTACTGGAGACACCAGATGAAGCTGGAAGTGGTCATGATTCACAGTAAGTGTTTTCCTTTGAGGAAGCTGATGTGAAAAGTTTTATAATAATTTGGATTAGCAGGTTTGTAATCTAGCAGGAATATATGCTTGTCTTGAGACTTTCTAATGTATTTTTTACGTCAGCTTCTTGGTCCTCTAGGTCATATGGGAAAGAAAATCTGTTTTGTTGTGCTTGACAACTAGTGAAGTAGCAGGAGAGATGGGTTTTGAAGGGAATTATTACTCTCCTGACCCCATGTTTTTTGGTCATAGTCAGTGGATTTGAATTTGATTAAACAATGTTAGTATGAATAACCTCTAGAGAGTGGGTGGTCTGGCTGTAGACTTGAGCAACCCTACATCTTTTTAAAGTGTCTTAATCCAGAGTAAAGTAGACATTTATTGCAATTTTTAGCTTTCTGTCCCTCTGTGCTGTGGAGGAGGGAAAAGGCATTGAGAAGGATGCCTCTTTTCCGTAAATAGCTGTAGAAGTTTGTATTCTCCCTTGCAGCTAGTTTTCAGACTAAAAAATGATATGGTTGCTGACAAGGAAAAATGTAAGTGTAAAAACACGGTATGTAGGGTTTTTTTCCAGATATATGTTTGTGTGTGCGTTAAATACCCCTACTGTTCTGTCAGGTACGGGAGCGTGCAGACAGAAATCAAGAGCAGTCTTTGTTCCTTATTTAAGACAAATCCATATTTAAGACAGCCTGGAAAAAAAAAAAGTTACAATTATCTGAATTTTCAAAAGTGTGCCTGTTGGCATTCCACCACCACCGATGCACAATTAGAGTTTGCAGTTCAGGCAGGCAGACAGAGTTTTAGAAATACATCCAGCCCATCTGATACATGCAGGTACTTAAGGAGTTTCCCTGTTTCCTGCAGACCTCTCACTTTTGTCTATCCATTCGGTGCCACACTGAACGTGACGAAACCAGCAGTGCCTGTTCTGTCAACAGGATCTGTCTGCTTCCCGCTCAACAGGCCAATTCTTGCTTTCTATCAGCATGAGGTACGACTCTGCGTGTAACAAACCGTGCGTCCTCCCCCACACAAAAGTTGTGAGCATGTTGTTCTGGGAGTACTTACAAACCCACTTCTGGTTCTGATGCGTCTGCAAACTCTAGGTGAGCCAAGTGGCTCCTGCCTCATTTTATGACAAAATTTCTTTGCCGAGGAGAATTAATTCAATGATCAGCAGAGATTCTGTATTTGGTTGGTTGACATGTGGGTATTTTTAGTTCTTGAAGTTCGGGTTTTTCTTCCACTATTCTAGTGATCATTTAGTAAGTTAGATTCATAAATACAACTTGTCGAGTTAATAAGGAAGGAGTCTGTCACCTTGGAACCAGTAGATTTTTATAGGTTATTTTACCCTTCCAGCCCTGTTAATTTATAAAAAAAATTATTCGGAAATCTAGTAGTAGTTGAGGGGTACAAACAAAAGATTAATGTTATTAGTAAATGTAAACACATTAACACATTTTTACTATGTAGATGACTTTCTAACACTACTGTGGTTCTTTGATGTCCTTGTTAGGAAGGTGATATTTTTTTTTTTTCCCCTGAGGATGCCCAACTTCATGCCCTGTGTTCTGGCTCAGATAAACTCCATAAATCCAAGACAGTATGGCAGCATGAAGTGAACTTAAAAGTACACTTAGTGCTCACATTTTATCTGCAGCTCTCGGAGTAAGATAAAATCCATCCATCCACACAATATTTGCACATTGGACTGACAGACCCTTGCCTAATTTTTCTCTCGTGATAATATTGAAATTATTAATGATTGAGTTCTGTTTTTATCACATAAATTGTCTAAGTTATATAAAGCATTGACTCTACTGGGTTTATAGCCTTGCTGGTTGGTGTTCTTGTTTCAAGACCGTGCCTATTTATGCGTGTTTAATGTAGCTAAATTAAAATATAATGACCTGCATATTTTGCATTTTATCTTACAAGTAACACCAAATAATATTTACAAATTGCAAATAATACCAAATTCTTCTCTCATTAGTTAACATGAATATGTGCTATATTGACATGTGTGTTACTAGCCTCTAGGTTTACATGGTGAACACTGAAGAATGGGTTGACGAAAATTAATAATACATTCATTTAACTTAATTCTGTTTTACTTGATTGAAGAAGAGTGGTCTTTTTCTGCGAAAATAATCTAAGAGCACCTACTGTGGTTTTTTTTGATGGCCAGCCAGTTGTCTGTCTGCTCTTAGGAAATGCCTCTGTGAGTGTGCCAAGTTTGAAACTGCTTTTGCCACTACTTATTCCAAAATTTTCTACTTCTCAATTCACTTTGTAAGTAGACAGCATTAACAGTTGCCTCTAAGACTGTGGTTTGGAAAGGTTTTTGTGATACTCTATTCTTTGTTGACAGAGTCCAGGTGGAAAGATTGCAGCACTGGGCTCTATCCACATGTTCAGTGATCAATATTTACATAAAGAAGAAAATGGTAAGATCATGGTAAGTCATTTTCAGTTGATTGGTTTAAAAAAAAACCCAAAACACCAAATATCTTAGTGGATCTTCACAGCAACTACAAAGCAATCCCAGCTCACTAGCTTTGTCTTAGAGCAAGACAGCTGTGAAAGGAGTTCAGCAGAGAGATTCTAACCTGGGATACTAACATCCCCGAGGAATTTGTTGGAGCACAGCAAACAGGAAGGACTTCTTAAAGATACATTTTCTTCTTTATGTTGTAAGACTCTGAAAAGCTTTTCCTACTTCTATTTGTCACTTAATTGTTATTAATATTTAAATATTAGATAGGGGTTTTTTTTCATTTATTACTTTTTCTTAGCTTCTGTAGCACTTATTATGGCTACTTGTTAATAATAAACCTTTGTGTATATAACTTCTGATACCTGGAGATCGTAATTCACTTTCCAGAGTGGGGTGTTTAACATCATTATGTGTAAGAAGGGGAATTTCCAAAAAAACTAAAAGTATGCACCTCATGCAAAGTCTGCTCATTGCCATGACTCACTGCTTCCATGTATAAATAAAGTTTGTATTTTCTCCTGTAGATATTCTTTGATTTGTTACCCATATTTTTCTTCTTTCTCATGGTAGATTATTTAATAGATTTAATATGAATGTGTAAGCATAACGTAAGATTACGTGGACTCTCCAGAAATTAAGTTTTACCCTTCTCCAGGATGTGCTTTTCCAGTGGCTTACAACATCAGATATCTGCTTAAACCAGAAGGATATGGAAGACCCTGAGGTAAGAGAGGTCTACCACAAGGAAGTCAATAGTAGTGTGATCCAGCAGCATGAGTTTTGGTAACCGTGCATTTAGCACCAAAGGATTAACAGCTAGATGTTATTGCTGCACATCTGTTATTCAAGGTCTGAGGCTGAGTGGACAGATGAAATAGATATTAAAAATAACAGTCTTGCGTCTCCCAGACTTAGATTGCTATTCACTATCAGATTTCATTTGTGAAAGTCTCTTGCCAACTTGTCCATGTTTATGATTTCATTTGCCGCTCCAGCCTAAGTTTGCTTTTCACTTCGAGCCCACATGCGTGAAGTGAAGGCAGATTTTCTGTGGTAAGGACCACCCTGTGCATCAGTTTTAGTTGGTTTGTTTAACTGGAGATATGGAAGTGCTATTTCTATTTGGAAACATCATATGTGATTAAATGGTGGGAGACTATATCAGTGGGTTGATCTTTTTAAATGATAGGTGTGTGTATCTGTGCGTGTGTTCAGATTTCAGACTATACCATGATCCCAGACATAGCTGTGCTGTCTGAGCAACTGCGAGGCTGTCTGCAGGAAGGAGATGAGAACCCAAAAGACTTCACAAAGCTGTTTGATACATCCCTATATGAGCTGGATACAACTGCCCTCCCTGCAGTTATCAAGTGAGCAGCTAAACTTTTAAAATGTATTTGTTTTTTCCGTTCCGTATTCAGCATTTTCTGTTTGTGCTTAACTGTGTCTCCTTAAGAGCAGAAGGGACTGGGGTGTAGGCAGCGTTCAGAATATGGTTATACCATAAGGTTGATTTGTGCTGTGACAGTGATGTTTTCTTTTGCTTCTTCTCTTGGCTGTAGTTTCTGGCATTGTTTTTTTCTTTTTTTCTGACTACTGCTGATTGACTAAACTCGAATTTTTAGTAGCGCTATCAACGGTGTTGTGGGGGACTTTCTGGAGTGATGACTGGTTGTTTCTCTGCTTTTGAATTACTTGGCATTTACTGAAACTGCATTTCCTTTATCTTTGCATTTCCAATAAATGTATCTTGAGATTTATCTGCTACTCAGTTTTACCAGTTTTGTATCGCTAGCAGTTTTGTCCCTCATAACTCATCTGTTACCCGGGTCATGTAGAATAGTAGCAGCCTTAACACAGATTCCTTGCAAGTGCGCTCCATTGTGGGCACTTTTTCTTCTTACTTTGTATTTCTCGTATTTTCACTAGATGTGAATTCACAGTGGGATCTCCCTTCTTATCCCATAGCTTTTAAAAAGAGCTTTTGCGTTTGGACTTACTGTAAAACCTTTTTGAAATCTGAAGTCTACTCATTTTGAACTGGATCAGTTTTTCCTCGCAAATGCCCATACTTTTAAAAGTTGCTTGAAGTATTGAGGTGTAACTTCCTTCTTTTTTTATCATCTGATATATTCACCTGTCATTATCTTCTTCTCTGTCGTAATTTTAATTTGCTTGCTCTAGAAGTCAGTTATTACTGATACGTAGTTCTCTGGGGTCCTTCTAAAATTTGACATCCCGTGTTTTTAATGCTGTATCAGCGCATAGTGTTGAGCCTCCATAGCCTGCCAGTAGAAATGGATGTTGTATCATTTTTTTTCTCTCATACTTTTTCTGTGCTGCAGAGCGTATGAAGAGCTGAATGTGAAACACGAACCCCTTACACTCATTGAGCCTCAATTTGAGACACCGTTACCTCCCCTCCAGCCAGCTGTGAGTAATCCCCTTGCTCACGCAGCACGTGGAGAATCCATCTGTTCTGTGTAAAACCTCTGTGTGTCATTCCCATAGTTCTCTTGAGGAGAAAAAAAAAGTGAAAAATGCTGGTTTATGGATGTCTTTCCATGGTGAGCTGTTGGGAAAAACTTAGTACCTCAACAATCTCAGCTTTCACCTGGGTCTCGTGGAGCAAAGCTAAAACCCAACTGTAAATGCAGTATGTGTGGTTGGAGCTAGGTGATAATTCTTGCATACTTGTGCCTGAACGCTTTTGGAATATTCAGTTATTTGTATGAAACATAAATGGAATTTTTACAAAGGTGACCGTTTATGCTTTATGTAGGCTTTGGAATTGCTTTTGACTTTATAAAAAGTTTCTTCAAGTCCAACCTATGTCCATAACTGTTGTCGTAGTGATCTGCAAAGTGTAGGAAACATATGTGGCAAAAGCCATGCTAATTTTTCTCTTTTAGGTTTTTCCACCTATTTTCAGAGATTTGCCTCCTCCCCCTCTGGAGCTGTTCGACTTGGATGAAGCTTTTGCCTCTGAGAAAACTCGTCTTGCAGAGCTTACTAACAAATGTAAGTGGAGCAGATTATTTCCACGTTTATATATTAAGTCCAATTTTTTGGAGGAAAATTGTTGATAGATTTCATTTTTAAAAATGGGCCTCATTTATGAAAATGCACTGCTCTCATCCTAAGCCAGGAAATTTGAAGGTTGTGGAAATTGATAACACAACTTGATGTGCCATGACATTTTATTTTGTTTGTTACATGACATTTTATTATGTTTCTGTCTGCTGTTTCCTACATCGTGCAGAAATTGCTTTGTGCACTCTCGCTGATGTATCTTGCATCTTTTTGTGCCTTGGAGTTAAAATGTTAAGGCTGTTCTAAACACGCCTTAAATCTAAACATGATGAGGAAGTGCTAGCTGCAAGAATACATCATGGCTAATCCACTCAGCTCAGTTATAGGACTTAGCCTCCCAGAATGCCGAAAAGAGGAGCTTTGTGGAACGTTTTTGCCCAGCTGATACGGATATGTATGATATTCAACTGCCTTCTTCCCTGGGATGCTTGTTTAGGTACTGATGATGACCTGGAATATTACATATTAAAATGCGGCGAAATCCTAGGAGTAACAGATAAACTCCCAAAGGAGAAGCAAGATGCCAAACATGTCCTGGAATACGTCTTCTTCCGAGTGGTTGAGTTTAAGAAAGCGCATCAGGTATTTTCAATAGTAGAGTTACAAGTGAGTAGTTGGTAGTTTCAGCACTGAGTCTGATCTGTCTTTGTAGCAACTACACTTGTCACAGGCAAGAGTTACAGTGGTGTGTTGAGACATTTGTTGTATAGTAGGTCAGACCAGCGGAGTGTGATTGAGAATATTTAGGGCTGTTTATGTGTTTGGAACATGTAGGGCTCAATTTAATAAGTCTCTCATTTATTTTAATTGGGAGATTAAGGCACGCAAGTGTAGTTTTGGTAATTTCAGCTAAAGGTATTTCATTAATGGTGCAGTGTGTAACAGCAGCGTGCCCTCATGAATGCTCACAGTGCTCGCTAGTGCAGATGTGAAACCAGTGTTGTTACTCACAGGCAGTACTGGGTTGAAGTAATTATTCATAGTCAGTTTGATGCTTCAAAGATGTGTGGAGCGTGTTGGCAGATCAGCTGTTTCTACTAACAAGTATTCCCCGTTTCTCACACAGTCAAGAGAAAAATCTGACATTTCTACTCTTGTTAAAATTTCTTTTTTTTTCTTCTTTTTTTTTTTTCCTCATCTTTCATTACCTAAGGAACATGATACTGACACAAGTGAAGCTGGATTCCAGACTGGTAACTGAGACCTGGCTTTCCCTAGTTTGAGATAGACTTTTTTTTCTTCCTTCC